AAGTTGTGTTGACCCCTGGGCACCTGGCAGGAAGTCAAGGGCACCATGAACTCCGCCCCCAACAGGGCTGGACACCCCAGGGTCTCCCATCCACCCCACCTAGCTCATTTCCCTGAGCACCCTGACCACTGCATTGTGCCCCCCGCAAGATTGAAGAACTGAAGGTCTAATTTCAACAGGTTCTACTCACAAGCTTAATATATTTTAATAATTCCTATCCCAAAAGTCAAAAAAAATATAAGGCAAACCAGGCATGGGTAAAGCACCACCAAAAGTAACACGAGCCAATATAACTATAGTAAAATTAAGATTGATATACTGTATTTTCAAATATTTTAGTAGCTACATATACAGTAACTCTCAGTACCAGATCAATTGATAATGGCTTAACAGAACACTCAGACTGAATAATTCAGTTGGGATTTTTAGAAGAAAATTTCAGGACTGGAAGGCTGAAAAGCTTTGCTCTATGAAATTAGATATTGTGTCAACAGATCTCCACTGAGCTGGCAGGACGGAAATGTTCCAGAAATTAACTTCGAAACAAAGACAGAACGTTACCAAATAATCACTTACCAAAGTGAAGCTTCAGCAATCTTCTCCAAGTAGGGTCATCAAAAGCTTAGTTTATGTTGCTGCAGATGCTGGAGATTACCAAGGAGAATACTGAAAAGTCAGAAAAATATTAAGATCAACTTTTTAGCATTAAAAAAAAAAACTAACATTTTGGAAACAAGTGTTTTTAAAAAACAATCAGAACCTCTAATTTTGTAAAGTCAGTTTTGGAAATGAACACACCTCATGATATAGAGCTTTAAATTAGCACATCATCTGTGCATAGAGTACCCGTTTACAGCTGACTCTGCAATTCTGTTCTCCCACAATCAGTGCTCTAAGTACATGTCAAGAGTGGGGGGGGGGAGGAAGGGTGTGCACGGGAGGGAAGATAATGGGGGATGGCTCATTTCCACTTAGTTTTTCAGTTGGTCAGACAGTTATGGAAAATATTTCATGCAGCTGCAATGGCTCTACATCTTGCTCCAGTTCTTGGTTATTTGGCCAGTATAAACCAATTAACTATGCCTGAGGAGGATTAGTGGCTTGGGAGTCTGCATATCCCAACACAGCAGCTGAGTGAATAGGTAACTTAAATGGCCCTGGTTAGCAGAATGTGAGAGAATCTAAACAATTTTCTTCTCAATACTTGGTGAAAGGAAAGCATGATTATCCCTATTTTACAGATAGGGAAAAACAGCACCGATTCACTCAGGCATGATCACAAAGGAAGCCTATAGCAGAACCAGGAACTGGACTTAGTTCTCTCAAGTCTTGACCCTACATGCCTATGAGAAACATAACTAAATCGCTACCTCAAAACCCATGCTACCAGAAGCTGTGGTTCACTACAAGTAGGTCAAAGTCTCGTGTCAGTTTTAGGAGCTGGGGGAAAGGGGCGGGGCAGGCATCCCCATTCAGTCCTGACTCACGCCAGGTACAGGAGCTCAGACTTCTCCTCCCGCACTCCAGACAGGGGCTGCTGCCACCCCTGTATTAGAGGCAGCAGCACAGGGTGATGGGCAGCCGGTCCGCAAGAGTAGCTGGTTTTTAAACTGTCGAGTAACTGATAAGAACTCATGAGATTACTCGACTATTCAATTAATTGATATTTAACATATCTAACAGAGCACAGTAGATGCTTCACAGATATTTAAAACTACAAGGTTCCTACCACAGATCTTACAACCTAAATTAAAACTAATGCAGACAGATGTCTAAAGAGAAGAAATGTAACATTAAAGATGTGATTGAACTGCATTTCCCATATACAGGCAGTCCCCGGGTTACGTACAAGATAGGGACCGTAGGTTTGTTCTTAAGTTGAATTTGTATGCAAGTTGGAACTGGCCTCCAGATTCAGCCACTGTTGAAACTGACCAGCAGTGGCTGAATTGGACACTCCTGGGGCAGAGCAGCTGGAGTGCTGCTGGGTTGGTCTGGTAGCACCAACCCTTGGCGCTGCCAGACCAACCCGGCAGCACCCCAGCTGCTCTGTCCCAGGCGTACCCAAGTCAGCCGCTGGTGAA